CCCCACTTGTGGAGCCAACAAGGAACATCCACCGCCCACGCGAAGGCCCAGGCCCAAAACCTTAAGCGCACCAGGTTGCAACTACCAGCTCCGGAGCCAGCAGCCGCATGAAGCTTTGCCAGGAGACTTTGCCATCCTTAGAAATGGTTGGTCAGCAGGCTGACTTGTTCCAGGTTTCGTGGGTGAGGTGATGTCAAGCGGCAAACTCCAGTGCTGGCGGAAGCCACTGGCACAGTCTAAATCAACAATCCCTCTTAGAATCATATGGTTATTGCTTTCCAACTTTTCCTAACGTTCAAGAAACCCCACAAGGTACACCCAACCTTCCACCCCGGAGGCGAAGCCTTTGACAGGCAGTTGGCTGGAAACTGGAGACGGCAACTGAAGCCGACCACAACGTGTTCGTTACCTTTTTATCTCACAGCTCTCACAACACGGCCATAACTTGCAATATGCTCATACTTTTCAACGCTGTTCCCTACCCAGTTCTTGCTCACAGACTTGGTAAAGCTTTCGGAGGCCGACTGCAAGATTGCGTTTTTACCTTCAAACTTGCAGGAAAAGCCTTTCAAATCCTCCGGCCAAACCTCTCCTCTCCAAATTCCCAAATTCCTAGCCCTGAGCTAGCTTCAGTGCCCAAGGTTCTGGGCTGACTTCGCTTATAGTCAGGCTGCAGACTTCCGAGTCCTGGAGAAATTTGTGCTTTGGACATCAACTTGGGCGTTAGGGTGCCCTCGGTCTTTTCGCAAGCTCCACGCTCCCAACTTACTGGAGTACTAGAAGGTCGCTGGAGAGGCTAGCAGCAAAGGGCGTAGCAAAGGATCAGAACACATAGGTGGTTGCCACAGTGCAGCCCCAAGTTTTCAAGCCAGCGCAGCAAGTAAGAATGCAGAAATGGAGTCTGCTTCAAACGTCGCCCACCGCCACCACAATTGCGCGTAATGCATGAAGGTCAGCAACCGAACGATGTTTGGAATTTATCATCCTAGGCCAGCCTTGCTCGCCCCCAGGGTTACATGGAACTCCACTTTATAGACTCCATTTGAGGAGCTAGACGGAGGAGCGTGCTTTCTGAAACAAGCCAACCGTTTACAGGATGGATTCGAACTCTGATCCCTCATTACAAATCACTGAACCCTCTGCAAGCTCAACATTCAACAGTAGGCGGAAAGCGACAGGAAATACTGTACAGCCATGCAGAAGAAAAGCTGAAAGCCATCCCAAAGATCCTTGAAATCTTGCACCCTCAGTTCTGCATATCCCTAAGCCCTCAATCTTGCACACCAATCCGCTCAACCAAACTACAGTTGACGTTCGCCCCGAGGTGTTCTCTCTGCAGCCTAGCTGCAGGGCCATGCCCGAAGACCTTTCGAGGCAACTTCTTTGGGGGTTCTGGAAGTTGGGGTTTGATGCTGGTGTGGCTTTTTGCTGACTTTTCAAATATTGTGCGCCAGTGCACGGGGTCAAATCTTTGGGTTGCCAAACATGACTGGCAAGCACTCCTGCACTGGCACATGCTGATAAGCACTCTAGGATGTGCAGGCTGCAGGCCTTCGGGTCTGATGAAACCCTATTGTGGACTCTACTTGATTTACCACTGCATCGAAACACGTCTCATCGACAAGACTCCTGGGATCTGTAGTCTACGAGACAACTCGTATGTGCTTTACAAGCGTAGTCTGCAAACCACCGCACAGCACCGCAAAACACGACGTAAATCCTGTGTTCGGGGCTTGTCGCCCGAAGCTTCTGATCCTAAATATCGAAGACGCTCACTTGTAAGCACAAATGTAGGATCCGACAAAAGCATTGCGCCAGAAAATGTGCTTCGATCTTAACTCTCAGTCGGCTTCACGTTAACTAGCGCTTCTCAATGCCTTTGGAATTCAGGCTTGCCTTCGCCAAATCTGTATGTCCGATAAAGCCGTCCTGGTCAGGAGAAAGTGTTAGATTTCCCCCTGGCAATGATTTGGGAATAGCAAGTCAATTCCATGAGAACATTCAGGCTTCAAGTGGGAACAGCTGCTCTTCAGTACGCTATAGAACGTCCAGTGCAGTCAGTATCTTGCGCAGACCTCCTTGATTGCAGTGGCCCGAGGCTCACAGCAGGGTAGTTCGAATGATTTCAATTCCCGATTTAACGCCATCTTGGTATCAATTCCTATGTAAACCACCATTTAGGGTGAGTCGCGTGAGGTCGCTTTAAATTGCCCAATCACAGTATGGATGACCATCTCAGTGTTTCCGCCCTCCAATTTTGTCCCAGAGCGGCTGTCAACCACAAAACCGGAAGCCTCACAGCCCTGAACGACGCAAGACTGACGCAAGATACAGCCATCCGTGTCCTTGTCTGTATCCAAGATGCGAAAAGTCACCTGGCGGACCGTAGATGTGCACACTTTGCATGGGAGTCCTTTAGCAACTACATGTCTTCACATGCGTTATACGAGTGCCTGCTATGAACCTTTTGAGGCACGGACTTTCTGGACTGTCGGCGCACTATGAACATGAACTTCGCAGCGTTTTGGCTTTTGCGATTTGGTGCTGTGTAGCACCAAAACCTGAACCATAAACCGCAAGTCGGTCACGCGCACCTCCAGGATGTTGGAGTTGCACCGGATGTTGTCCGGAAGCGTCACCGCCAAGAAGGCGCGATAGCTGATGTAGCCTATTGATCGGCTTGGGCTTCCAAATCCAGGACTTACAGGGCTCAGGGCTGGAGAACGTTTGGCTTCAACCCTCCTACTTCTGACCTCCGGAAAGGCCGGATCCAAGATGCACGACTTTCGTGGAAGAAACTTCAATCGCAACGGAGCTTCACACTGGGCACCGTGCCATCTCGGTTCAAATCCATGGCTTCCTCAGAGAAAAGGTGAAAACGATGAAGCCTGTGATGCAGAATCTGTGCAACTGAAAAGGAAATATTACAGCGCGTACTTAGCGAAGTCCAAAAGGTGGCGCAAAATTGCAGAAGTTATTGCCCAGATGCGAAGATATCATCCAAATCATCTGGCAACCTCCCATCACCTTGCGGAGCGGCAAACCTAAATTCTGTTTGGTACTTGTTCCCTCATGACTGCTCGCTGATACGGCGAAGCCAAACACAAGTTTCAGGTGCTTCAGACCGAAATCCCATGCCGAGGTGCTGAACACCTTCTGGCTATCCTCCAAGGCTGAAATGGAGAGCTCCCCGTAGCCGTGCAGGTCTGACAAGTGGGCAAACGGCTCAAGGGGTTTGGGTGTAGAGAGTAGAGAAGCAACAAACCAACCCTGACATCACTCAAAACAGCTAATTGTTACCTAGCCGCAAATTTGTAGCATGCATATCCAGCATCGTGCCTTCCACGGTATGCAGTGTTCATATAAGCCCCCGGAACAATCCTTTCAGTCCATTCTTGCATTCCCTGAGCACTGGGGACCAAGGATTTCTCCACTTGAGCAGTTCCAGCACTTCGTCTAAATCTAAATCCCAAGCTCGTAGGTCCCATCTAGTCTAGAACCTCATAACCTCAGACCAACTGAAGCTTTCCCTCCCATCGCGCCGAGCATGCGAAAAGCCAGACTTGCTGCTTCCGACACCTGGCAATGGCTTGTGCTGATTCATCACTTTCTCAATGCAAAAAGGACACACGATCTGTTGTTGTTGTTGTTGCTGCTGCTGCTGCTGCTGTTGTGGTTATTGTTGTCTGTGTGTCGCTACTGCTAACAGAAACTGCTCTATTCTTATGACGCAAGCATTTGGATCTAGGATGTAGGGTTGCATGTATGATTGCTCCAGCACGTAGGTGCTGCCGGGTACAATCCCGATAGCAGTCCCAATAACCACGGGAGGAGTAATAATAGTGATGACACATGCCGAAAGGGTGAACCAAGACTGTAGCCAATGCTGCCAGTGCTAGATATTTCTGAGTATTCTCTCTACCACCAACGAGAAAATCGAACACCGGTCTTGCGCGACATGCTTTGGGCTGCCTTTTGGCTACGCATTGTAGCAGCAGTGGAAATAATAACCAGCGCAGAAGAATAGAAGTGTTGAATCCACAGCTTCACTCGGAACCTCCGCAGCCTCTCCTCTTGGGTACAAACTCCAGACTAATAGGCCGGCACAACGAAGAGGCGTAACATGAGGCTAGATGTTATGCACATGAACTAGCTGAGCTGCCACCATAAAGTAAGCCATATGCAGAGTGCAGTGGCGGTGACAATCCTACAGAACACTCTAAAATCGATATTAACTGGGACTTGACAATGGTACGTGCAATGGAACGCAGCCGCATGGTTCTTGCCCCGGCAACTTCCCATATTACGATGACCTGAAGCTTTGCCCTACAACCTCAAGGATGTAGGCTCGCCGCCTCACCGCCCATCCTTGCGGGATTGATTGGAGATGATCCCCCTTTGAGCCCCGCCTCACTGACGTGGACCATGATGAGGCGTGCCACGCGTTTCCTCGGGATCTTGTGATCGTACTTACAAGTGGGGCTGCAGGAATGTGTAGGGATGCCCTACAGTAGCGCTCGGCCAGGTGCGAACTCTGCTTGGTGACGTAGTCTTCAATCTCTGACTGGACTTCCCCAGAACCCCATAACAACAGCAAGGGCAGTGAAAAAAATCAACCAGACATAGCTGACATACGTTTGGTTGAGAGGGTGCTGGTGGCCGTCTGTCCGGGGCTGGTACATGCTGCCGAATCTCTGTCTAGTCTTCCGCCTAGCACTCCTTTCTTGATGAGGGGAAGGGTTTGTACTTACCGAGTATGAACCGCGCCCTGCAGAATTTCGAAGGAATCCTTCTGCTTGTGAATTACAGCTTATTGTAATGACCCTTGGACGAAGGACAGCCGCAAGCGACCGCAAGCCGGCCCCATTGTTCAGAGCCACTATTCCCCAAGATGATCGCCATCATCATGGACAAGCTGCAAGAAGTCTATAGAGTCCGCAAGAAGCCGGCTTTGTTTTTAAATGCAGGAGAGGGTTTACTCACTTGCGCAGCTTGGCCACAGCATCGGCTCCTGCATCACTTCCCGCACCTGAGCACCACCGCTCTTTGCTTCAAAATGCGGCTACGTGTTTGCTCAAGGTCTTGGTTTCAGAAGGGGTTTAGGACTTTCGGGAAGCTCCTTGCTTTCTGAGGAAAAACTACGCTCTAGTTGATACTCTAGCCCTGTTCTAACAATCATGGCCCACTTGTAGGCCTCTCAAAACTAGCTTAAACCCCGTGACTGTGTGGCCACTCTTTGCGATTTCTATTGGTCCAACTCGTTACTGCTTGTTGAGCCTTTCGAGAATGTGTAGGCATTGGCATTTGTCTATTGCGCGAGGCTCGTCGATTTGGTTCGGCTTCATCACAACGTTCTTATTAAGTGAGCTGTCTTCTGAAGCAAAACGTGGGCCATGGCCTAAGAAAATGGGCAGGCATGTCCAGCCGTATGTCAACCAAACTCCCAACGCCCGACAACTTCGGTCATGAAGGCCGGATCCTGAAGCCATAAACCCCATGAGACCTCCAAGCGTAAAACTTGCAAACTGTCAGAAAAGCAAACATCACAGCTGCAATCACGACTTTATCGCCAAATTGACTATTTCCAAGTGCAATCTACTGCTACTGCTACCGCTGCTGCTACTACTAGTTGAAGTAGCTCCCCCTGACCAACCATTTTTGCTGAAATTGGGACCACGCTGGAGAGGGTCTGTGGTGGCTCACGCACGAAAACATGTCACACATGCGGTAACTACCCGTGTCTTTTTCATGTGCAAGCTTTGAATGGACGTTGCTATGCTGCACCTCCATCCCCTATGTTTCACGCAAATACCAACCTCGAAAGCTATTACCATTGGCAGAGGCGAAGATTTCCCACTTTTGACCGAGTTTCAAGACGTGTAAACTCAGGATCGTGGTTGGTAGGGTGACAGGCGTCTACTTTCTACTCTGATGATGTGTAACTAGGCTTCTACTGTTTATTGCAACGACAAGGTGGTGCTGCCTCTCTGATCCCCGTCTCTGGACCTCCTTGAACGCTCAAGGTTTTCTTTCTTTTCCGCAGTGTTGGGCGCGTTCGGCGGTTTGGGTAAGCTAATTTACATTAGGCCTCCCCTTTGGGGAACTTGCTGCTGCCTCCAGCTCTGATACGGACTTGCCTTTTGGCTCTGCCAATCCCAATGGACGTAGCAGCTATAAGGGCCACAGGGTGAACCCACAAAGACGGCTTTTAACGGCAGGAACCTGGTCCGTAGGAGCCCGGCAAAGAGGGTCCCGCGGCAAGGGGCAGGATAAGTCCCTCCCAATACAATCCCCAAAACATAAAAAACTAGATGCCCAATCTGCAAAACACTGCATCTCAACAAACAGAAGCCTAACCTCTGAAACCCAAGACCCCAAAACCTAACACACTCATACCTAAAGCATCAACCCCGCGATCCCAAAACTCTACAGCCCTCAAAAGCACGCCCCGGTCACGAACCAAAAGCCTAAGTTTTTTGGTATAGGCTTGCATGCTTTATGTCCTGTTAGGTACATTCTTTTGGTAGATTTGGTGGGTACAAACCAATGCGACACTCATGGCTAAGCAGAATTCTATGACTTCCGCCCTCCAGCCAAAGCCCCAACTCAAACCCCTGAACCCTGAAGCTTCCACACAGCACTCTAAGCTCTAAAGCCAAACTCTGGACAAAAAGCACAAGACCCATATGCTTTGAATCCAAACGTCTAACTACCCCAAAGCCCGAACCCGCGAAGTCAAAATGCCCCCAGCCACAAATTTGCAGATGGTTGAGCTCAGGTCAGCATAATCAGTGCCGGGACAGAGCAGTAAAGCCCACATGCCACTTCCCAGAAGCCAAAGGAAAATCCTCAAAACGGCATTCAAAAGCTTAAGCCCTTCGTAGGCACTGTCAAGATCCTTAAATCCCTAGACCCCAGCCAACGCGATGACCGCTTACTAAAACCTGGACCCCGAAGTCTAAGATACCCTCATAATCTTGAGCAAACAAGCTCTACGTTCTAAACCCGAAGCCCTGTGCCTTAAAGTTTTAAATGCTCGGACCCAGACCGTATCTGGAAGTGTCGCCAACATCTCCAAAGCCTGGTTCCGCTCCAGAGAGAACAGCCTGAAGAAAAGCAGCATTCTGAAGTTTCTCAGGGGTTTTAGGGCTTAATGTCTAGGGTTCAGGGCCTAGGTCACAGAGCGATTCTGTTTGGATATATATATATATGTTCCTTCATGTTCTCATTGATGTGACATTGATAGGAAGGGGAAGGGTTGGATGGGTTAACCATAGCATTTCTGGACTTCATCCTGAAGCCTCCAGTTGTCGCCAGCCAAGCAGCTGTCGCTCCAGCTCATAGCCATCAGTGTTGAAGGGGTGCTTCAACGCCTCCTTTATTGTAGGCCTCCGCAAGTCGTTCAGAGTATGCACATCACTTTTTAAAACAATCCAGTCTAGGTTGGACTTGGGGCTGGTTCAGCAATATAGTGACCCACAAGCTCACATGAGGGATCAGGCACAGATCCGGCTACTTAGATTTCATTGAGCGTCTCAACCCTTTGCCATGGCACAGTAACGCCAACTGTCCACGGAATGATACAGTGCACTTTTTGTGCCAACATCAAGGAACCTGTCATTTGAAAACCAGAGAAAGTGGAGTTCGCTTTGCCATTTTGCAATTGGCTAAGGCTATCATCATCCTAGCAACGCAAGACTTCTGCTAATGCTGATGAGAGACAGTATGACACAGTGGTTTTCTGAAGATATATGATGCTACTTTTGCATGTGAGCAGGAGTAAGAGGAAGGGTTTCTGTCGTTTCGCATTTTTAGGTGCAGATGATGACGATGGTTCTAACCTGCAGCAAGGCAGCAGTGTTGGCAATGAGTCAAAGCAGTGAACATGACAGCGACTTGTACAGTCTTCCGCCGACGAACATAAGGGTTCTTCAGAACAGTATGAGTTTGCGCAGAGGACTACACATTAGGCCTTAAACGTAAAGCCTTGGTTGGTTCTGTCTCTGCAACACCCCAGCTGCTCATACTCCCCTCCAGTCGTGTCAGAGTTTTGGTTTCTTGGTGGTTTTCAGGGTTCCTGGCTATTGGGCAAATACATCTGAGCAACCTATGTAGGGCGTGGGGGGCCCGACATTTCAGAATTGCTGTTGTGGCATTTGAGCTGGAGGCCTCGCATGCCGGTCATGCTGAAGCATTTGCATCAGCAAGTCCGCAGCAATTGGCGAAACATTGCACCTGGGAAAGTGTGGGGTGTGGGAGGTTTGGAGGTAGGGGATTGAGGGAAATCTGTCCAACTGGGCGGCCTTAGAAAATTTGATGTCAAATTATCCGTGAGCATCATCCTAAGCCCTTGGGCTCCGAAATCCTTTGTCCCCAAATTCTGTGCCCTCATCATCACCTCTGAACTCCTGGGATCACTCACTGAGGCCGGGCACGCTGTGACGGCTGCTTGCACGCGCTCACGAAGCATCTGACGCACTCGTATCTCACCTAAGGAAGACAAACAAATTAAGCATTATATCTAACTGCAGATGGGGTGTGTTCTACTAAAACCATGTATGTTCTCAATGCCTCACTTCCTCCATTCCAAGCGCTGACAAGGGCAGTGCAGGTTCTGTGACAGGAGTTGGGTGCGTTAAAATCAGCAGTGGCGGCTGGAGGATCTTGCCTTTAACACAGGGCTTTCTAGAACTTGCGACATTTACGTTGAGTATTGTCTGGTTAGATGGTTGCAAGGTTCCAAAACGACAGCTACCCCTAAAGCCTGCCGTGGATGCCGATCACTCCTGAAAGGGCCACACTGGCTGAAGCGCAAGCATGACCCTGTGCTTGAGTAATCCTGTAAAAATCATACAAATATTGCGTTGCTTGAAAGTCCCTTGAGAAATGTCTTAATCATGATAACTACATGCCATCCGCGTTGTTGTGCTTGAAGAATATTTCCTTGGTCGAGCCACGCTTCACGGTGGCTGGAGAGATGTCGTCGAGCAGCGGAGTTCCTGCTCTGGAATGCAGAAGCATCCATCCCCAAGAGAGTCATTATGACGCGGACCCCTAGAAAGTATGTAGCTGACGCATACCTCAAATTAATCCACACTTTTCCGGTCGTGGGTTCTTCCCATATGGCCTGCGCTTCATTCTGTGAGATTGTTAAAAAGTCTGACACCTTGAAATGTTGTGATCCTAGCTAGGTCTTCCACAAGCCCAGACAGACCCCTTTCACAAGCATGCAAGACTTTGATGCAAGATGCCAAGAAGATCTCTTTACCCACGAGGATTATGAGGGACCAAAAGCGATGACGGCCGCGAGAAACGCAACCACAGCACGCCCCATGCTTGTGAGGGTGCAAAATCCACGACGCTCACAAACGAATGGCGAGCGACCCTGACATGCCGGATCGCTGAGACTATTCACGGGTTCGACATGCGACGGAGAAAAGAGCACCACCATGACAATGGTCACTAGGATCGCAACCTTGCCACATCTCTGTTAACGTCGACACTTAGATACGTGGCGAAGATACGAGCGTTCCAAAACAACCGCAGTTGCAACAATCGCAGTCCCGACGCTGCGCGACTGCACTCTCATTCCAAACTCCCAAGTTCAGCAAGCACCTTTTCCACGCTTTGTGAAAGCTTACAGCAAGCAACAAAACACATAACTTCGCCAAGCTCCCGTGTATACTAAGCAGCAACCCAGTACTCTCTTGGATCCATGTGGGCACCTGCATTTTTGGACACTAGCTGATTTCACTGTTGCACCTGTCAGCATGACAAACAGGACGACGCCGCAACTCCAAACATCACCTGTGCACTCATCTGTGGCTGCAGAAAGGCGGCAGCTATAATATGTATATGTATATGCAGATGTATGCAAGCTATCGGTGTGCCGCACAGGAAATATGGGGATCTACCCCTGTCATACAAGAAATCCATACATGCACATGCTTTGCGGTAGCAAGGGAAGAGTCTCTGCAAAATGCGTTTTGCCAACTCTAGAGTGGAAAGCTGACCCATGAGGACTCACCTGCAGCTCGCTGTAGTGACATAGTTCTGGCAGGATGCTCTCCACAGCATGTCTCATGACTGCCGCTATAGTATCTCTGAAGCAGCATGCAAATCAGAATTGCTTGTGATTGCAACCTCAGAAACTAAGATGACCAGCATTGTTTGCAAGACAACTCCAAGCGCACTACCCTTTCTGTTGTCACATTGATTTCTGCCAGCCTTACTGGCTGTTTAACAACCACTACTCATCACTGCCACCTCCTGCCGCTGCCCATGATGCTGGGTGGGCTGACTTGAAATGCCCTCTGACAGAAAATGCCAAAGAGCACCCAAATATATTCACAACGGCAGCACGTAGCTGGTGCAAGGACCACTACCATCTCTCAAGCTCATGAGAACGGCAACCAACCAAATCCAGTGATGACCGTCATGGCTCTTCATACGTATGTCAGGAAGAAAAAAAGGTCCCTCATATTGGTTGTACGATTTCTATGCTTGCGTGCTATACAACCCCTGGGCTGCTAGGCACAAGTGCCTTCTGGACCATACACTCCACTCCAAAACTCAGGAGCCATGTATGCCTCAGGAAAGAAGGCATGCATGCTGTAGAGTCCAAGAGTTGAGAAGGTAAGGTCTAGCAGTTAGGGTAAATGGCTTCTGTCATCAAGCAGTGGTCTCCAACCTGCAGGTCATGGAGTTCTGGGCTCAACAATCAAATAAACATGATGCACAAACTATCAAATTCGATAGATGGGTTCTGGGCATGGGATTTGGGGTGCGGCAACAGTGGACCATAAACTGTTGATACAGGCCCGACGCTTCCATGACAGAGTGTGAGTCGGATCTACCTTTTGGTCTGTGTACTCATCGAAAACACCAATACTAGGAAACTATGATCTGTGACCTGTTCCGCTTCGGTACAAGGCTTTAAGGCCTCTACAGCTTTATGCAACAAAACATAGAATGTTTGACGTCCGGGGTCTGTCTCGTAGGCACTTGTGGGTACAAATGAATGCCACAAAGTGGCGCTTTAGGGGCATCCAGACCTGGATTATCCTCCACACGAAGCAATATCACAGCAGAAGTCATGGCCAATAAACGCTGCGTGATGATGAGAAGGCTTAAAGCGCTTCAAGCTTTGTTTAATACGAAAAAGGCAATGCTTAGACACGAAAACAACTAAGAATACTAGACACGGAGATGGTGATTGATTCCCCTGAGGCCGGCCATGACCGGCCCAGGTAATCCCAGAACAATTGCCGTACATTCCCGTGTAGCCTGATATCACACCCATTCTTATCGCTGCATGCCCCCGTACATGGCATTCGTCGGGTTCCCAGCAGAGACCAGCACTTCGAGACTAAACCCTGAAGCGTAATCACAGCTCAAGGTGCTGTCGTGCCAGAGACTCGATGCTTACGATGCATGTCGAAGCAGCTGCTCAGCCCCAAATCAACCATCCTTGTATGATCAGTTTAAATGCGGGCGTTGCAACACTGTTGCTAGCCGTCTTAATCTCTTCTTGCCTCCCGTTACAAGTAAACTAGCGTTGCTCTGAAGGGGTAAGACCTTGTGATGCAAGGAATGCAGCCTGTAACAACGCCACACGCCACCTAGCGAAAACATATGTCTAGTTCTCAAAGGCAAGACCGGAATTCTCCGTTATGTCATACTGATGCATGCAGTTCTGCCAATCCCTGCGTTTTCCTCAAAGATGCACATGTTGATTATATGATAATCCGGTACAAGAAACCTTATTCAGCATGAGGGGATTAGCAGGGTGCCTGCCAGTCTGGTCTCATGGGCTCTGACATTTGGGCTTCAAAGAGTCTGCCTCGAAGCCTCTTCCCGAAGGCAGGCGGCCCTACCCGTGCCCTGAATCTCGAAACTACTGTGCCAGGAAATCTGTTGGCAGATTAAATATTCGGCCTCTGCGCTTGCCTTTGTGAATTGAACGTGGACCTCCCTTACTGTTGAACTTCCCAGATGTGCTGGGCGAGTGTGAGAGTTAACGCGTCTGTTGATGGTCTATCCCTGGTGAGGCACGCCAGATTAAGCTGTTCATGCTTAACCTCTTGTGTCCATTTACGGCTAGGGAGGTTTAGAATTGAGCATTTAGAAATTCTTTTTAGAGGGGGGCTGTATTGCTAGAAAACCCAGTCATCTTCTGAGCATGGAGGCAGCAAACCGTCACCGATGCATCCGGGCGTCTTTAGATTGCCGTGAGCGATGTCACCATTTGTCTCACCTGTGCACGAACGACATCGCCCCAATGTTCCGTCGTGGCAAGTCTGTGCTAATGTTGAGGTCGCATTGATTCCACTCACGAAGTCTGCAAGATCCCGCTGTGTTGAAGGACTATAAAAGGGTGGCTCCCGTACGTTTTCAGCTTGAGCAAGTCTCTGCTGGGAAAGAGCTGCAGGCCTCCGGCTTGGATACTGCCCCCCCCCATACGCGAGAGTTGAAAGCTCTCCTGCACATCCATTTCACTCTAGCAATCGGGACTGTCATGCTGAAGCTCTGTAGTTGGTGTCATCGGACGTGGGCAATGGTGAGTTACACATACTATCTGAGTGTGAAGCTGTTTGTTGTTTTTTCTGACGCGCAGAAGCTAGTTCAACAGGTTCTAAAGAGTTCTAACGCGTTTCTTATGTGGCAGGATTCTTTCCGTGGGTCCCCTTCAAGGATGCATTGAGAATACTGCATACGATACCAATTTGATTTGCTCTGCAGGACGCATAGATATCTTGCAGGGACTTCGTCTTCAAGAACAGACGCTGAACGTGGCTAGGCTGTAGTTGATGTCTTCGGTTTCATGATGCAAGATCAAAAATTGTGGAAGGTTGTTTATGTTGTTCATTCAGTCATTCATAAGCACCATCAAATCCAGGGCACTCAAACAGCGTGAGAAAGTTCTCCACCCGATGGCTTTGTTGCAACAATGCTCAAACAAATTGCAGCAACTGCCAAAACACTTCAAAGTTTTCTTCGCGGAAACATTGTGTACCTAGATTGACCTCTTGCTTCTGCAAATTTGCCTCTACGCATTACAACCACATGATACCCGTGCCCTGTTTGATAGCACAGGGGCATCAAAACGTATCATGCAGTTCTACACACAAACATACCGACAAATGCTGTTTCTTTGTGTTGTTTTCCTTGTTCTTGAATCACGCGACTTTCCTTACGACGTGCCGTATCTTACTCCATAACCCGCTATTGTTTGTTCGTTTGGCTCTGTTCTCTTACGAGGTGTTAAGCCAATGCAAACAACTGTCGAACTCTTTCTTGCATTTGGCTTCTTACATCGTACTGGAACCAGGATCTCTTGTAACCTCTAACTTAAGTGCCCGAAAACGCATTGGAAGAAGCCTTGTCCAACACAGTATGCGGACGAGGTATCCCATTGAGGGTTGTACTTTTTCTTGAAAACGCCTGCTGCGAAAGGTAAGTAGTTTGGCAGAGACCCGAGAATCAGTTTTTTTAGATGACAGGCCGAATGTGCAAGCCAAGGTGCGTTTGAACATGAAATTCTCCGGCTTAATGTCCTCAGCTTGACAGCGAGGCTGCACAAAGTGGGCAACTCACATGTTTGTAGGGACGAGCAGCTCTTGTTCAGTTTCTGCACGCAACAGGAAAAGAGTAGATATCGCAACGATGACAGCTACCAATTCTCATGGCCATGTTCATCATTCCGTTCATAGCGGTGTGAATAGCATAAAACAAGTAAGAATTTCTGCCCACAACAGGACAGGAGTAAATACCGCAACGATAGCAGCTACCAATTTTAGTGGTCATATGGATCATTCCGAGCATAGCTGCTTAAATGGCTTAACGCGAGTAAGACTTGTCCAGCCAATGATATGAAATCTTAGCTCTTGTAGCAGAATTCAATAGCGACTCACAAATGAAGATGAGAAGGAATACTAGGATGATCTAGGATGTGTGAATAATAGCCAGACTATGTATGATATGATAGCAGGATTATTGCTGACCCAGTGCTTACGATGTAACGAGAAGTTCGCTGTGATGCTAGCATCTAGTTCGCCCGTTCCGCTCTACTCTTCTCAGTATTTTTTGAATTCCTTTTTTTTGTCCTCTGCTGAAACCCTCAGGCAGGAGGCATAGTGCCCTCGGTACTGAGCATGGCAGCATTGCAATGCCTGCCACAGCATGCACTCAACAAGTGATGCTCAAGCACACAGAAGCCAAGCTGTCCAGGTCGCAATAAAACTATCGACAGGCGAGGTTTGCAGAATCATCAATGAGGTCTTATTTGTGGTCTCTATTGCAGTGATGATTTCTGCATGTATGGAGGGGTCCGCA